GGAAGCTAAGGTAGACAACAGTTAAGTGATTTGCCTAGGGCTAGCACATAGCTAGAGTTTGAGGTAGGATTTAAATTCAGGTCTTCCTGACTACTTGTCCAATGCTCTATCCACTGAATGAACCACCTATCTGATAGGAAAAGAGAAAGCTCAGCAAATATCATTATGAACCTGGTTAGGGAACCAACATTACATCACAGGATACAACTTCCACTTCATAATGAGAAAGATGTCCAATGAAAGAGGTAGTCTTAGATGAATGGGAATACTCACCCTACAACAGCCTAACAAGGTATTTTATGATCCCCTAGAGCAGCGTTTCTTAAACTGTGGGTCACAACCCCATATGGGATCACGAAAAATTTGGCAACAGTAAAATGCTTCTAAATGCACAACCACCAAAAATTAATTAAAAATCAAATGCATGATGAATTTGAGGTGTTTTTGGCACCCCTTGACCATTTTGCATCTTGTAACTTCACTGCAGCCTTGGTTTTGAACACAAAGCATGTGCACTTTGCACTGCGCATGTCCTCAGGCCACCCAACCCTAATGAATGCTGCTGAAACAGGAAAAGAAGGTTGGGAGTGGAAAAAGTTGAAGAAGCCCTGCGCTAGAATTTACTAAAGAGTTTCACCAAAAGATCTGAAGAAAGCTAGTGACACACAATTGATGTGCAAATTAATTACATATAGGTTCCTCTGAGGGGGGCTGGAGAATGTGCTAATAAAATGTGATGGAGGGAAAAGAACACTGGATTTGGATTCCAGAGATCTCAGGTCAAACCCAAACTCTGCTACTTGCCATCTGTGTGGCCTTAAAGAAATTACTTCATGTCTCTGGGTCTCAGCTGTTCCTGTTGTCATTCAGTCATTTCAGTCATGTCTGACTCTTCCTGACCTCATTTGGGGTTATCTTGGAAAAGATACTGGAGTGGTTTGCCATTTCCTTTTCCAGCTCATTTTACAGATGAGGAAACTGAGGCAAACAGGTTTAAGTGACTTGTCCAGGGTTGCACAGGTAATAAGTATCTAAGGCTGAATTTGAACTCAGAAAGATGAATCTTCCTGACTCCAGGCCCTCTATCCACTGCATCACCTAGCTTCTGGGCCTCTGCTATTTCATCTGTAAAATGAATGGGCTGGAAAATACATATACAGAATACATATACATATATATGCAGAAAATATGTATACAGAACAGCATATGGAAATTTAGAAGGGGATACAAACAGGTAAGTTTTACTTCCATTGTGCTCAATTTAATATGCACTTAAAAAAACAAAAGTTCACAGTTTCATATACAATTCGTTTGTTCTTTGTACATTAAAATGTCTGTTTGTTGACACTTCTTAAGTTCATAGTAAAAAAGAAAAAAATTTTAAAGGAAAATAAAATGAGGTGATTAGACTAGAACAGGGGTGGGGAACCTGTAACCTAGAGGCCACATGTGGCCTTCTAGGTCCTTGAGCGTGGCCTTTAGACTGAGTCCAAGTTTTACAGAACAAATCCTTTTTAAAAAAATCCTTTTATTAAAGGGATTTGTTCTGTGAAGTTTGGATTCAGTCAAAGGGCTGCACTTGAGGACCTAGAGGACCACATGTGGCCTCGAGGCCGCAAGTTCCCCACCCTTGGATTAGAAGTTAAATAACCTAAAGCTCATGAACTTATTTTTTAAAATATTTTAACAACTATTTCAACATAACTAGTTTACTTTATAATCCTAAACGCTTTATGCCTTTAAAAGCATTATTCTCAGAAGGGGACCTTAGACTTCCAAAGAGGTCTCTGACACAAACAAGGTTAAGAATCCCTGGACTTGATGATTTCTGCATATCCTTCCAGCCCTAAAGAGTATAAACACAGCTCTTTTGCACTGATCTTCCTATCTTGGCCATGCTCCATGGGGGACAGAGTAGAGGATGAGACAGAGAGAGAGAAAGAGAGAGAGAGAGAGAGAGAGAGAGAGAGAGAGAGAGAGAGAGAGAGAGAGAGAGAGAGAGAGAGAGAGAGAAGAGGATGGGAAGTCTTTACAGTCATGGGATCCTGGATTTCCAGCTGGAAGGCATCTCAGAGGCCCTTGAGTAAAACTTCATTTTCCAGATAAAGAAAGGGTTAGCAGACCCAGATAATCTAAAAGGCTTGCTTGAGGTCACCCAGCTAATAAGTGTCAAAAGTGGGAGAATGATAATAACAAAAACAACAATAATAATAACTCTAGCTTTAAAGATTGCAAAGAACTTTCAAATATCTCATTTCATCCTCACAATAACCCTGGGAGGTAGGTGCTATTATCCCCATTTTACAGATGAAGAAACAGAATTTGAGTGACTTGCCCAGAGTCACACAGCCAGTAAGTGTCTGGGGCATATTTATTTATTTATTTTGCTTTTTGGTGAGGCAATTGGGGTTAAATGACTTGCCCAGAGTCACATAGCTAGTAAATGTCAAGTGTCTGAGGTCAGATTTAAACTCAGGTCTTCCTGACTCCAAGGCTGGTGCTCTATCCACTGCACCACCTAACTGCTCCTGGGTCCATATTTAAACTCAGTTCTTTCTGACTCCAAGTCTATCTGTTCATTTTACCACCAAACTGCCTCAAGATTTGAACCCAAGTCTTCCTGACTGTCCAGGGCTCTAAGTACTAAGCCACACTGCCTCTCACCATAGCTGCTCACAGCAGCATAGAATTCATGCAAAGAGAAGGGAGGAGTTCTCTCAATAGGGCACAACCAGACCCAGTTGTGATGACAGGATGCAGCAACTCTGGCTCATTATTTGGGAAGTATTTTTAGATTGACAGAGAAAGGCCATGAATCAACCTGAGGTCCTCTTACTGTCTCTAAGTTAGATCTGCCTCCCACCACCACCACTTCCTATTACCTGTGTCATGTTCCCTGACATTTTGTCCGTCAAAATCTCACTGGAAGCCTGTCTTTTGATTTGAAGAGCTCATTGTTCTTCCCAAAGAGTAAGAATGCTTCAGCTTGCTCAGTATTGTACATTCCCATCAGCTGGCCTTTGAACTTCCTGGGAAATCACAGAGTTCTGAGAATTTCTTCACTGTATTTTATAAAAGAATATGGTGGGGAAAAGAAGGGTGTCCAGGGACTCAGGGCTCACTCTCCCTCTCCCTCCCCCCTCTCTTGCACCTGTATTGGTCATCATGGGCACCTCCTGGTCCCCAGCCCAACCCCACATTCTCCAGAAGAATAGTGGTACATCGGGGCTGGGAAGTATATGTCAACAGCTCCATTTAATTAAGCGCAATTTTGCTCAGAAAATATGCAAAGGCATCAAAGCAAGTGAAGAAGTTAGTATTCCTGCAGGGCGGAAAATCATCAAACACACAAAACCCTTGGGATTCTTTCCATTTCCTTCTCTTCCTTTCTTCTCTCTACAACTCCTCACATTATGTTTCCCTTGCACCAGGCATTCAGTGAATATTCTTAGGTTTAAAGCTGGAAGGGACCTGAGAAGTCATCTAGTCAACACTCCCCCTCCCACCTTTTTTTTTTTAAATGAGGCAACTGAGACCCAGAAAGATGAAGTCACTCAGCATAAAAGTAGGAGAAGCAGGATTTTAATCTAGGTCCTGTGCCTCCAAATTCTATGTATTATACCAATCCTGGGTACTATTTGTTGTTGTTGTTTGGTTTTTTTGAGGCAATACAGGTTAAGTGACTTTCTCAGGGTCATACAGCTATTAAGTATCTAAGGCCAGATTTGAACTCAGGTCCTACTGACTCCAGGGCCAGTGCTCTATCCATTATGCTACCTAGTTGTTTTTCAGTTGTGTCCAACTCTTCATGATCCCATTTGGGGTTTTCTTGGCAAAGACCCCATAGTGGTTTGTCATTTCCTTCTCTAGTTCATTTTACAGATGAAGAAACTGAGGCAAACAGTTAAGTGACTTGCCCGGGGTCACACAGCTAACAAGTATCCGAGGTCACATTTGAACTCAGGTCTTCCTGACTCTGGGGCCCAACATTCCATCTGCTTCACTACCCAGCTGCTCTCTATGTAATATAACAAATACAAATGTGTCATTTGTCATTCTGTTGACTCCCTCCTCCCCCTGGTTCTATACAAGCAGAAGTGGGGGTAACTCAGGTGACTTCTTGGTGGCTAGCTTTATCATTCAGGATTTTGTCTGGCTACACTGGCATAGCAGAAAATGTCCACAAAAATTAAAATATTATGTATTCGAATTTGGGATTTCTATGACAGAGCTAAGTAAGCTATAAATCACCCAAATGAGCCTAGCAAGCACCACTGCTCTGATCAAACTGCTTCTATTAATGGCCTATGAAGTCACCTACAAAATTACATGGGAAAGATTTTTCCTGGGGAGTGAAGTAAGGACACTATTACTCAGGAAGTGATTCAAACACTAACATTAATATTTTCTATTTTGATACAGGTCTTGTGCATCCTGTGATCTAGTGAAATTATTCAAATGAATAATCTGTCATATCATAGTAGCAATATCATACTTAGAATTCAAGAATTCAAAATTGCTAAGCACCAGGGATACTAAATTAAAAAAAAAAAAGGAAAGTGTCTTCAAATCCTGAGAGCATTCTCATTGGCAGTTAGGCAGCACAGTGGTGCAGTGGATAGAGCAGTAGGCCTGCTCTATCAGGAAGACCTAAGTTCAAATCCAGCCTCAGACACTTAGTACTTGTGTGACCTTGGGCAAGTTACTTAACCTCTGTCTGCCTCAGTTTCTTCAAAAACAAAATTGAGACAATAATAGCACCTACCTTCAAGGGTTGTTGTTGTGAGGATCAAAGGAGATAATATCTGTAAAGCATTTAGCACAGTGCTTGGTTCATAGCAGACAATATATAAATGCTAGCTATTATTCCACTGAAGTCATATAATACATGCAAGCCAACAAGAATTTATTAAACACTTAAAGAAAGATAAGATATATGCAAAAGTGAACAGAATTTTATACAAAGTAATTATGAAAGATAGAAAGCTCTAACATCTGGAGGGGCTCAGGAAAGGCATAAGTCAGTCAATCATCAAGTGTTTATTAGGTGCTTGATATGTGCCAGCCAATTGTGCCAAATCCTGGGGATACAAAGAAAAGCAAAAAAGATTTTTGGTCAAGGAGGTTATATTCTCATGGAGGAGACAACATGTAAATAAATAGGTACATACAAGATACATATGGAACAGATGGAAGGTAATCTTATAGGGTGAGGCTGGGAAGTGGAGGAGACACTGGCATCATAGGTAGGAAATGGCACCTGAGTCTTCTTTTGTATGAAGTTAAGATTCTAAGAGGCAGAGGAGAGGAGGGAGTACATTCCAGATAGAGGGAACAGCCTGGACAAAGACACAGTAACAGGAGATAGCAGGGTTCTTTATTGGAAAAGTGAAAAGCTTCATCTGAAAGTTTCCCTAGCTCTCCCAAAGAAATACAAGGAGGCCAGTGATGCAGGTTGACATTGTGAATATAATTGATGTGTGTTTGATGTGATGGTCAGTGATAATTCTCAGTTATTAATTTTCTTTCATAGGTTGAAAATCAAGACTTAATCTAGTCCCAGAAAAACAGGTCTTCCAAATGAAAACTGAATCATTTTCCCCTGGAAAACTAATCATTTAGGAAGTAGTTATTAAAAAAAGCCTAGGAAGTGTCTGATTAGATTATTATTTCTTAGTTTATCTATCATTGCCTATCCCTTATATGCGGATAGACAACTTCCCTTTGATTACAGGGGTAAGGGGAGCATAGGAACTATTAAAATTATTTCAGAGTCCATTTTAGAAGATTGACAGTTTACTCTGCCTCTGCTCAGGGGCTTCTGGAAAAGGTAGCTTCCTAAAGCAGTTCCATTGTCAAGAAGAAAAAGGATCTGCGGGAGGCACATAGATATTTAAAGTTATCATGCGTATTTCTCTATTTTTTTCTAGGGCTTGGCTGCCATCTTGACTGTATGACCTTGACCAAGTGAGTCATTTGTCTCTCTGGTCCACAGTTTCCAGATACTGAAAATGAAAAGTTGAACTAGAATGATTTCTAAGATTCCTTCCAGTTCTAAAATACTATAGTTCATATGATTCTTGTTGGGTGTACAATAGGGTTGGGAAGAAGTGATGGGAGTGGGTGGGGATATGATTGTTGTCATCAAATATTAAAAGAACTATTATGTATAAAAGAAAGCACACTTGTTAATTTTAATCTGGAGAATTAGGATCAGTGTGTATTGAGGTTTCAGAGAATCATATTTTGGTTAAATACAAAAAATCTCTTAACAATTAGAGTGGTGCAAAATTGAGATGTCCATCTGACAGCAGAAATGGGAGAGGTAGGCTACAATGCTATTTATCACTTTGTGACGTGTAAAAAGTTGAAGAGACTTAATTTCTGGGTAACTAATAATTTTATTAATTATGGCTAGTGAATAATTAATACAGGAATGATCATTTGGCTTTCTTTCATAAACCAAAGACAAATCGTGTGGAGGCCTCTCTGTGCTTATAAGTCCTTAGAACAATGGTCAGCAATCAGCTCTGATTGGTTAACAGTTAATGAAATAATGAATATTATGAAAAGAAGAGGACCTACAAAATGAGGGAGGGAGGGAAACATGACTAGTGATCAAGTCACTTTTATTCCCAGACTACCCCCAGCCTCAGGCAATCTAGACAAAGGGATCTACCCCACCCCCCCAAGCTTGCCTGAATAGAACACAATGGGCTGGAATTTACCTATATTAGATTCCTTTTACTCTTTAATCAAAACTAAGCTTCCCCAGTTGGGTGGGGTCTCTAACAAGATTGAAAAGCCTGTTTTTGCACAATTGCATCTAACAACAATGTCCTTCAAATGCAGGCTAAATAACCTACAAGGGGCTGGTTTCTGAATGAGGAAATAAAAAAGGGAAAATCTTAATCTCGATTAATAATTGGTTATTAATATAAGAGAAATAATCATTTCTTTCAACTTCATGCCTATAAATAGATTTGGATGACCACTTGTTGGGAATGTTAGCATGAATTCATAATTTGAACAATTTAACTAGGTGACCTCTAGAAATCCCTTACAAAGCTAGGTACGCTAATACACTGTTGGTAGAGCTATGAGTCCAACCATTCCAGAGCACAATTTGGAACTATACCCCAAAAGCTATAAAACTGTGCATACCCTTCTACCCAACAATACCACAATTAAATCTATACCCCAAAGAGATTTTAAAAAAAGGAAAAAGACCCACAAGTTCAAAAATATTTATAGCAACTCTTTTTGTAGTGGCAAAGAATGAGAAACTAAGGGAATACCTATTGATTGGAGAATGGCTGAACAAATTATGGTATATGAATGTGATAGAATACTGTTGTGCCATAAGAAACAATGAAGAGGGTGGTTTCAAAAAAACCTGGGAAGACTTATATGAACTGATGATACAAAGTGAAGTGAGCAGAACCAGGAGAGCAAGGTACATATTAACAACAATATTGTAAAGATGAACGATGGCAAAAGACTTAGTAACTCTGATCAATACAATGATCCACCAAAATTCCAAAGGATTTGTGATGAAAAATGTTATTCACCTCCAGACAGAGAACTGATAGACTCAGAATACCGACTGAAGCATATCGTCCCCCTTTATTTTTCTTGCTTTTTTTTTCAAAATATGGCTACTATAAAAAAATTTTTTGCATGACTTCACATATACAATGGATATGAAGAGGTCTAAGATTTTTGGGGTGCTGGGACCCCAAGATCGTGGGACCGGGCCCTGCTGAATGAATTCAACTCAAATCTTCTTCAGCCAGAGGAAAAGTTTATTAGTGATAAATCACATCGACCAGGTGATGCCCATAAAGACGAGCAGAGCAGGCATGAGAGGTTCTCAGCCTTGTGGGCCTGAGATTCTCAGCATCTGAATGAGGGCCAAGGTGGATCTTAAATACTAAAGTAACTTTGGGTGGCCAGAGAAGGGGGTTGGGAAATGGGTCTAGGTAAGAATTCTAATTGGGGAGGTCTGAGAGATTGAATAGACAATGGGAATAGATAATGGAGGGAACAGGAAGGCAGAAGTTTGAAAGGCATCTGCACAAAATCAAGGTGGGGCTAGGACTTTCAAAAGGAGATAAGGGGAATCGATAAGGAACAGTTTGAGAACAGAGAAGGCCTTTCTGGGGCCTATAGATAAAGGGGAGCCAGATTCTTTTAGGGCACATCTGAATAAGATTAGAAGGTAAGGCTAAGGCTTTCAAAGGGAGATGAGGGTCTGGGGCCTGTGAGTCAGATTCCCTTTGGGGCAAAGGGCAAAGATCTTGGCTTGGGCCCCGCCCCCATCAGATATAATTCTTATCATTTCAATGAGTGGGGAAAGGGTGGGGGGAGGGAGAGAATTTGGAACTAAAAAAATAAAATTTTAAAAATACTGAAATCTCTTCAAAATACAAGATTCTATGATTGTCAGGTAGGGAGGCTGGTGAATATTACATTTCCCATGAAAATGTGGTGAATTCTGACTAGGGCAGAGCACAGTAGAACTATCACCATCCTATTTCTGGAAGCCATGCTCCTCCTAATGTATTCTAAGATTGCATTAGCTTTTTTGGCTATTACTATACACCACTGACTCATATTGAGCCTGCATTTCACTAAAACCCCCAAATCCTTTTCAGAATTCACTCCAATTTGCATCTATAGCTCTGCCTGGTTTCAACTCCTTAGAACAAGATGTCCCTAAAGTAGGTACCCCTAGGTGTCCCTTTCTAGCTCTGTTTTGTTTGTCTTCCCCCATTAGATTGTAAACTCCTGGAGGGCAGAGACTGTCTTTCTTTTTCTTATTTGTATCCCTAGTGCTTAGCACAGTGCCAGGCATACAGTAGGTGCTTAATAAATGTTTATTGAAATGAGTTTGAAGAACTGAAGTCTATCTGTGTCTCCCATCTTAACTTGTGAAGTTGATTTTTTTTGTACCCAACAGCAAGACTTTACATTTGTCTCTATTGAATTTCATCTTAATGGATTCTGCTAGGTGCTCTACTTTGTCAAGATCCTTTTAGATGGTGACTTTGTCATCCAGAGTTAGCTATCCCTCTCAGGTTTGTATAATCTGTAAATTTGATGATCATACCATCTATGCCTTTATCTATGTCATTGGTAAGAATGTTAAATAGCAGAGTTTCAAGTACAGATCCTGGGGTACTCCACTGGAGATCTTCTGCCATAGTGACATTAAGTAACAAGAAAGACCACAGTATGAGCTAGCATTTACAGGACACTTTAAGGGTTTGCAAGACCCTTTACATATGTTCAGTCGTTTGACCCTTGCAACAATCCTGTGAGGTGCTATTATTTTCCCCAATTTATAGATGAAAAAACTGAGCAACGGAGAGGTTAAGTAATTTGTCCAAAGTCACACAGCTAATAAATTTTTGAGGGTGGATTTCAACTCAGAGCTTCCTAACCCCAAATCCTGCATTCTATCCACCTAATTGTATTATTGTTTAACCCTAACCCATTTTTTCCCATCTTTTCCATGAGAAGAGCATGAGATACTTTACAAAAAAGCTTTGCTATTGCCTTCCCTCTGTTGATTATTTCCAAATATCCTGTATATACTTTGTACATAGTTGTTTTGTTTTTATCCCCCCCCCCCTTTAGATTGTCAGCTCCTTGAGATCATAGACTGTTTTTTGCCTTATTTTATATCCCTAGCATTTAGCATAGTGCCTGGTACATAGTAGCACAGTAGATACTTAATAAATGCTTGTTAACTGACTTACTTAAAACTAGGTAACTTGTATCCACAGCATTCCACCATCTAAGGGTTAGTAATGCTATTAACAAAGATTTTTCTGTTTGACTCCGCCTGACACTTTTGGACAAGGGATCAGACTTTGGTCCTTTCAATATCTCTATACACCAAAACCAAAAGTTCTCTCCTAAATCCCCTGTTCACAATTAAGGAGGCATAAGAATCAAAAGCCATTAAAACTGGTCAAAATTTATCCATGGTGATCTGGCTTTTTAGAGTCACATTTAAAACAGAAAATAAATGTAACAGGGACTGGTGCCTGCATTGACTTTATCAGTGTGCCCAGCTTATGCAAATTCTTTTCATGGGAAAGCCTGGAAAGTCTGCTTCCTGCAGAGTCATGATCACATGTAATAGAAATGCCTTGGAAAGACCTACACCCAGACTCCTTGTCTTGTGGTTAGCCTTTCCCATTGGCTACGTGGCTAGCACCAAGAGCACCTTCAGAAAGGTGCTAGGGACCAGTCCCATGTTCAATACCATGAACAGGGTGAAAGACAGGTGAAAGACAATGCGTATGGAGCAAGGCCTTACGCTTTTTGCCCTCTGAGGTCACAGAGCATTGTGAAAATGGACCTTGGTTCTTTGCCTGCCTTCCCATTTGTTCTTTCCTTCTAGATAAAGGAGATTAATTTGGAGGATCAGACTTTGTGAGTTTTGAAAGGTCAGGAAATGGAGCCTCCAGAAATCCAGGAATAAAAGTCCATGTGGGTTTTGCAGCCAGACCAACATTAATGCTTAAAGCATAAAGAGTGACCACTAGGAATGACCTTCTGGACTCAGCCCAGGCATAGCTGAGACAGGACTCATCCAGCAGTCATGCTGCATCTGGACATGAACTTGGTGAGACCAAGGATGTAGAAACTGTGTTAAGGTTTAGCTGCCCTCTGCAGAGATTCAGGTGGGTAGAGCAGAAGGTGCCCCCAAAGCATTGGGGAAAATGTTTGTACCTTTGTTATTGTTATACCTTCAAAGTAAATATTCCTTTGATAAAAGAAAATATTGATAGTGTTGTTTGTCCTTCATTCTCAAAGAGGACCAATGACATCAGGAAAGTGATATCTTCACTCGCAAGTGAATTGGAATTTAAGTGAGGCAGGGCTGTGCAAAGTCACCAGCTTCACTCCAGAGTCTTCACTTCCTTCAGAGCTACCTGGGTCTAGTGGCAAGATATAGATCAGGATGACAAGATATAGATCAGGATGACTAAAGATGGCCCTGGATGCAGTGGGACACCTTGGCCTTTTTAAGCTAAAGTCTTTCCCAGGTCCCAGTTTCTCTGAGAAACCCATTCAGTGATTAAGGCTAGGTAAGAAATGAGGCAAAAAAAAATGGCTTCTTTTACCTACTCAAACAAAATCAGTCTGGGAGGGGAAGACACTTAGGGTTTCTGGCCAGAACAGAAACAATTGCTATTTACACTAAATTATGTTAAACAGGTTAAATATACCTGCCCTGTTAATCATTGGCACCTAAATTGGGGGGATAGGATGGAGACATAGTTGGTAGAGACTCTAGCCACAGCCTTAGAAAACAACCCCTACTCCCAGAATGCAGAAGGAGCAAGACAGCTGGTCTGGCTCTGGGATAGAGTAGAGCATGCTCACTATATAAAAAAAACTTTTAAAAACAAGAAACTCTGGATTATACATTTGTCCTTTCAGACAGCAAAGGAAGGTGGAAGCAGGAAAACAGTACCACTAGCTGCCTGGATTCTCAGCCAGGGGAGAGGTCACCAGTGATTGCACACTCTCGTGATTGCTCTGGACACAGCTGTGGAGAAAGGCACCAGCTGCCCCTGGGTTCCCATCTCCAACAGCTTCTTTCTCCACATCATTCTGCCTGTTCCCCATAGCTACAGACATAGCCACCTCCGCATCAAGCCTCCCTTCCTCTGCTAGCACTGCAAACAAAATATCTCCAAGCACCACTCTTGAGAGTCCCCGAGTCTCTCATTCAAATTAGATCTCTCTGGAACCCATGCAGCCAGGTTCCATCACAATAGCTGTCTATACATACATTCCTTCCACTAGCCCAGATTTGCAACTATCCGGTCATCCTGAACTCTTCACTCTTTCTATCCCACACATCCAGACATTTGCCAAATCTTGTCATTTCTACCTCCACATCACTTACCTGGCCATCATTCTAATTCAGGCTCTCAATACCTCTCATCTGGACCATTTCAATAGCCTACTGATTGGTCTCTCCTCTCCAATCCAGTCATCATATAATGCCAAACTGACTCTCCCAAACGATGTATCTGACCATATCACTCCCTGACTCAATAAACCACAGTGCTCCCTATTACTCCCAGGATCAAATTTAAACTCCTGTTCGAGTCTGAAAACCCTCCACCACTTAGCCCAACCTCTTTCAAGCCTCAATGAACATCACCCTCCTCCACACACACTAATGAGCCAAACTGGCCTCTTGGTATTTGTCATGCAGGACACTCCATGCCTGTGTAGTTTGCACAGGCTGTCCCTCAGGCCTGCAATTCATTCTCTCCTCCCCTGGGAATTCAAAATCCCTAGTTTCCTTCAAAGTCCAGCTCAAGCTCTACCTTCTACATGAGGTCTTTCTTGCTACCCCTTCAGCATCTAGTTTCACCACAAAATCATCTTGCATCTATTTTCTATATATGACTATATAAGGAAGAGGATTACTCTCCGCACCCCCCTCCCCACCCCTACCCCTGCTTCAATTGATTCATAAATTGATTCATAAAAGGCCTAAAATTTAATCACAAAGTGTTAATGGGTTATTAAACTAACTATAAAAAGACACCTTTATAGTCCTGATCCTTTTATAAGGTGCGAACACCTCTCTGATTCAGTCAGGAAAGAAATAATACGTTGGCTATGCCCCAAATTATTTCAGTAGAAATGTCCGGAGTATGAGTGCTTCTGAGACAAGAGCTGCCTATGGAGGAGCCCCCATTTATGTAGGGTTTATGAAAAAAAATGAAAAAGAATCTTTTTTAAAAATTCTGAACTTAAATGCCAAATAAAATAAATACTTCCATATATCATAGAACAAAAGAAGGGGATTGTACATGAAGGTGAGAATCTCTATTATGGAGAACTTGCTTTTCTATTTAGGTTTATAATAAATTCAACAGATAACTTTCAAATTTATCCTACTTGCTTGTACTTCCTTTTCCTTGTGGCTCTCCTTCTGTTCTTTTTTTTCATGGAGGGAGTGGGAAAGGTCCTATCTCTAGTAGCATGCCCCTGAAAGAACAAACCAGAAGGCCTCCATGCATTGCATGGATACTCTCCAAATAATCAATGAAGAGGCATGATCAAGAAGAAGATAGCATGGTACAGCACAGAGTAATGACTCTGGAGTCAGAAGACCTGAGTTCAAATCCCTCCTGATACTACTTACGTGACTTTGGACAAGTGTATTAACCTCCCTAGGCCTCAGTTTTCTCATCTGTAAATTGAGGAGAGAGCACCAGATGGACATCAAGGTCCCTCCCAGCTTTAGCACTATGACCTTCAGATCCTAAGAACTGTATAGGATGAGACAACAGAGACACATCTTGTTCTGCACCAATAATCCTCCCTGATGAAATCAGGGCTCCACTTAAGACTTGTCTAACTTTTAGATATCCAGTAACCTTTTGATTTGGAACCATAAAAAGAATAAAATCAACTCAGTGGCAACAGATTACATAGTATCCAAATAAGGTGTAACCTAAGAATTTGGAGACAAGGAAGTAAGGTATAAGAGGTAGTATAGTATACTAGACAGAATGTTGAACTTGGAATCAGAAGATCTGAGTTCAAGTTTTAAGCTTTCTAGCTTATGTGAACTCTCTGTGTCTCTGTCTACTCACCTATAAATTGGAGATAATAATACTTACATTATAGAATTGTTGTGAGGACCAAATGAAAGAATATATATCAAGTGCTTCAGAAACTTTAAAACACTATATAAATGTTAGTTTTTATTATGGTATAATGGAAAGAAAGAACACTAGACAGAATCACACGTCTTAGTTTCAATGATTACCAGTTGCACTGATAATTTTTCCATGACATGAAAAAGTTGATGTTCTCTGTGCCACAAGATGCTGATGGACAAAATGGGGACAGTTGCATTTCACTACTTACTTCACAGGGTTGTTGTAAGGAAAGTATTTTGTAAACTTCAAAGCACTGTGTAAATGTGAGCTATTATAATTGCATAAATATGAGTTGTTGTAAAATATTACTATCTAAAATTGAAGTTAACAAGAATCAACATAAAACGTATGAAGCTGACCACCTGTGCAAATTTTCCCAAAAGGGAAGAAAACACCCTAAGAGATGATTTGTACATATTGTTAATGAGAATAAGGTGTCTACCAAATCCCATCTAAAAATGTAAAGAATGTAATATAAGCTGTAATCTAATTAATTGTAACATGTCTGTCATGAAATAATGTAATGACAGAAGCTTCTGGTGACTAAGAGTGACTAAGAATAATAAATGATTTGCCAATATATGTCTTCAGAACTAGTCAGGGGAAAGGGCACTTGATTCAATATGTATGCATCCTCATGTATGTGCAAACACACACATGCGCGTGTGCACATACACACATACAATTTCAATGGCTCTCATGTCTCCAGGATCACATCCAGACTCCTTAGACTGACAATCAAGACCTGCCACAATTTGTGCCCAAATGACCTTTCCAGCCTAATCTCCGATTTCCTCCCTCTCACGTACCCTAAAATGGTAGCAAATTAGACTACTTGCCGTCTCCCCTACTCAGTGTGTCTATGCCTTTGCTCATAGAAACTATGAACAAACTCATTTGATTGCATAGCGATAATAATAACAATAATAATGCAAATGAAAACCACTTTGGCATTTCATCTCATGTACCTCAAGCAACCTACCTGAAACCTTTGCCTCTTACCTCTGTTTTGATGACACACTCTTTATGTACCAAGCTCAGTGTGCTGTTTCACTAAAAAGAGACCAAATAAGGTATCAGGATACAAAACAAATCCACAAATCAGCCACATTCTTACACCATCCTAACAAAAACCAAGAGGAAAAAAGAGAGAAAATGCATTTAAGTAACTACAAAATGCATAAAATATCTGAGAATTAACTCAGTAAAACACATTCAGGACTTATATAAATACAACCATAAAACATTATTGAAATAAAGTGGAATAATTGGACAGCTATTCATTGTCCCACATCTGCATACCGGCTGTGACCCTGGGCAAGTCACTCATCTTTTCAGTGATCAAGGCGGCTCTCTAAGACACTAAACTGCCAAGAAGGTACTGAGCTTCACTGCTAGAAGAGCTTCCTCATCCATGAGTTCCCTATACCAATGAAACCACAAGTCCAGGCCCTATCCCTAAACTGTAAAAAGCTTTTGCATGAACAAAATCAATAAAGACAGAATAAGAAGAGAAACTGTTGAATGGAGAGGTGAGGGAGTCTTTGCATCAACTATTTCTGCTAAAAGTTTGATATCCAAGATCCGCAGAAAACTGACACAATTGTATGGGTAGTGATAATGGAGAAAAAGAATAATAAATTACTTGCCAATATGTCTTCAGAACAGCTAAGAACCACAGAGCCATTACCCAACAGATAAGTGTTCAGAAAACATGGATAATTTTTCAAAGAAATGCAGACTAAGAACAGCCACATGAAAGAACTGAAAGAACTAATAATAGAAGACGGCGGAGTAAAAAGGTAGTCACTCTCACCCTCCCCTATCAACCTTTGAAAACCCAGAATATAGCACCCCAGAAAAAAAAACAAAACCCTGGAACAGCTGAACTAGAAGAAAGACAGGGAACAGCCGTGCAGCAGCCCAGCAAACAGGTCTCCCAGTGCCTCACCAAAAATAAGGGAAGCAGCACTACAAAGGGCCCCAGGCAGATAAGCACCCTGCAGCAGTCATCTGAAAGGAGCTGAAGAAGGCAACCTAGAGTCTTCCTAAAGTCCCAGCCTTGCTGATTCCAACCCAACACCAGGTAAGCCATCAGAACAGCCTCCATCTGTCAACCAGGAAGAGATCCTGAAGCCCAGGTGGTAGAGCAGACAACCACCAACACCTGGACCTCCAAGTGCCTCGGTGAGGGTGGGGAAACCAGTGGAAACCAGCTCAGAAAACCACCAGGTACCTCAGCACTCTACCAAAGCAATCTCCCAGTGCATTAGCAGAAACAAGGGAGGCAGCATTGCAAGAGATCCCAGGCGGATGGGCACCCTGCGGAACCCATCTGGGGGGAGCTGAGGAAGGCTGGGTGAAGGGAAAAGCAGGCAACCTAGAATTTCCTGAAAGTTCCAGCCTTGCTGATTCCAGCCCAATGCTAGGTGGGCTGCCGGAACCCTACAGCCTCCACTTGCCAACATAAGAGGCCCCAGTACACAGAGCCAGTGACCAAGACCTAGGCTCCCAAAGCAGGAAGCTTGGGTCAGTGCCCTCTGTTCCCCAGCAGAAGAGCTCAGTCTCTTTAGGGGCCAAGGAACAGGGAAACCATGGGTAGAAGGAAACGTACCATGGATTCCTATTGTGGAAAGAGTGGGGATCAAGGCGGAGATTCTGAGGAGAACAACATTGTTGGCAGATGAACATCTGCAGCATCAAGGGGGAGTGTGAACTGGTCTGAAGCCCAAGGGGCCTTCTTAGAAGAGCTCAAGAAGGATTTTAAAAGTCTAATGAGAGAGGTAGAAGGGTCCTTAAAAAATACAATTGGCCAATTGGAAAAAAAGTACACTGAAGAAAACAAATCCATTAAAAATACAATTGGCCAATTGGAGAAGGAAGTACAAAAACTAACAGAAGAAAACAATCTGTTAAAAACTAGAATTGGTCAAATGGAAACTAATGACTCTATGAGAGAGCAAGAATCAGTCAAACAGAAACAAAAAATGAAAAAATAGATGAAAACATAAAATACCTCATTGGTAAAACAACGGACCTGGAAAATCATCCAGGAGAGACAATTTAAAATTATTGGACTACCTGAAAATCATGATGAAAAAAAGCCTGGACAGTATCTTTCAGGAAATCATAAAGGAAAACTGCCCTGAAGTCCTAGAACCAGAAGGTAAAATAACCATAGAAAGAATACACTGCTCACCACCTGAAAGAGATCCCAAATTGACAACGCCAAGGAATATAATAGCAAAATTCCAAAATTACCAGATGAAAGAGAAGGTGCTGCAAGCAGCCAGAAAGAAACAATTTAAATATCATGGAACCACAGTCAGGATTACACAGGACCTTGCAGCTTCTACATTAAAAGAAAGGGCGTGGAACATGATATTTGTAAGGCAAAGGAGCTTGGATTACAGCCAAGGATCAATACCTGCAAAAATGAGCATGATTTTTCAAGGAGATGGATATTCAACGAAATAGGGGACTTCCAAACCTTCCTGATAAAAAGACCAGAGCTCAACAAAAAATTTGATCTTCAAGTACAAGATTCAAGAAAGACATAAAAGGTAAATGGGACAGAAAGATACAATATGTTGTTAATAAGGGTGGACTGTTTACATCCCTACAAGGGAAGATGACACTTGCAACTCTTGAGAACTGTATTGTTATTAACACCATGTTAAAGGAGTATACATAAAGGGGTGGATATTAGTTGACTTTGATGTAATGATAAAAAAAATCTAATCAAGTGGGTTAAATGGATCCAACTAAGTGGATTAGTCTGATCTTAGAAAATGTACTGAGAAAGGAGGAGGCAAACAAGGGTAAATTACATTACAGGAAAAGACAGAAAATCCTATTACAGCAGAGGGAAAGAAGGAGGGGTGAGCATTGTTTGAACCTTACTCTCATCAGATTTGGCTCAAAAAGGAAATAACATAATCAGTTAGGTATAGAAATCTAACTTGCCCTATAGGCAGTAGGAGGGAAAAGGGGAAAGAAAAGGGAGGGGGGGATAGAAGGGAGGGAACAAGAAGTAAGGGTAAAGGGGAAGAAAAGGGAAAGAGATAATAGAAGGGAGGAGGGACTGAGGGAGGCGGTGGTCAAAAGCAAAACACTAGTGAGAATTTGTACTTACAACTTCACTGATGTGAAAATATGTTTAATAGGAATGTAAATGTATAGCATATATCAGATGGTGCACCATCTTGGGAAGGGTGGTGGGGAGGAAGGGGGAGAAAAATTTTAAACTCAAAAGCATATGGAAGTGATTGTTGATAAATCAAAATAAATTAATAAAGTAAATTTAAAAAATATATTTAAAAAAAGAAAGAACTAATAATAAGAGAAATGAACATTTTAAATTACTTTGAAATTTCACCTCACACACCTCCAATTGACAAGGCTATAAAAGATTAAATTATTCAATGTTGGAAATGCTGAAAGAAGACAGGAACACTGTTAGTGAAGCTGTTAAGTTGATCTAATCATTCTGTAAATTAGTTGAAAATTATGCAAGAAAGGTCAGTAAACTCTTCAAATCCTTTGACTCCATGATCTGACTATCAGGCAGGATCCTACTATCCGATACTATACTGGTGAATGTTTAACAACTAGCTCACCCAAAACAGAATACACACCTGGCTGAACAAGTTGTGGTATATGATTATAATGGAATATTACTGTGCTATAAGAAATGACGAACAGGCTAATTTTAGAAAACCTGGAAAGACTGAAATGAACAGATGCAAAGCAAAGTGAGCAGAACCAGGAGAACATTGTACACAGTAACAGCAATACTGTACGATGATCATCCGTGAATGACTTAGCTATTCAAAGCAATACAATGATCCAAGACAATTCCAAAGGACTCATGATGAGAAACGTTATCCACCTCCAGAGAAAGGACATATACCATTATAAGCTGGCTCCAGCACATCCATACTAGACATGTTTCCTAGTATTAAAAGACAGAAAGAAAGACCCCAAATGCACCAGACTATTAAGAACAAAACATGTTGTAGTAGCCATAAAAGATTGTCCATGAACAAATTAGGTATATGAATTTCATGGAATATTATTGCATTTTATAATAAATGTGGAAAATTCAGAGAAACATGAGAATAGTTATTTGGACTGATGAAAAGTGAAGTAAGCAGGGGCAGTGGAACAATATACATGATTATAATAATGAAAATGAAAATAACACTAATACAAAACTGAATGTTGAGTAATTGTCATAACTAATCTTGGCTCTAGAGAAATGATAAGGAAATGTACTTCTCTCCTTTCCCCTAAAGAGGTGGGATACTGTAAGTGTACACATGCTGTGAGACAAAATCACTATGTTGTTTGTTTTCACTTGTTATTCTTTGTTTACAAAGTAAGATGTAGGGGAGTATATCTGAAAATAAGTGATATTAAAAACAAAAATCATCAGTAAATCCTATTTGGATGACCACTCTTGGTTCTTGAGAACAAATAATGAGTACATTTCCTTCCCCTTGGTAGATGGGAAGGGAACTAGGAGTATAGAATGGGCCTGAAGGTGCCAGCATCGACTGGATCAGATGAATTCTAAGGTTCCTTTCAGTTCTAAACCTATGATCCTATGATTCACTCAAGGTCTTAGGGATAGTGAGCATGGTGGGCATGGGTGCTTCCTGAAACAGAAATTCCCTGGAAGAACTCACAAATCAGAGGAGGCCATAGGGGCAGAGGCACTGCTAGCAAGAAAAGGCCACTGGGGTGAAAGTGGAGTGGTTGTCTGGGGAGTCATGAGTTGGTTTAGATTTGACTTACTAAAGAAACAATGATTCTCAGCAGCCGAGAAATCCTTTGGTAAATTTAGTTGTGGGTTTATTTGTTACCATTTTAGCTGACACTTATCTCTACTAGCTATTTACATGTTATTGAGGAGGTCACACTGAATGCAGTAGTAAGGGCTATTCTAGTCCAAACTAGCCCTCACTCTACCATCTCTGTACACTTATTGCTTCAGAAAACTGGCACTAGGGGGCAGCAAGGTGGTGCAGTGGAGAGAGCATCGGCCCTGGAGTCAAGAGGACCTGAGTTCAAATCTAGCCTCAGACCAAACACTTGACACTTACTAGCTATGTGGCCCTGGGCAAGTCACTTAACCCCAATTGCCTTAAAAAAAGAAAAAAAGAAAAGAAAAGAAAAGAAAAGAAAAGAAAAGAAAAGAAAAGAAAAGAAAAGAAAAGAAAAGAAAAGAAAAGAAAAGAAAGGAAAACTGGCACTGGAGGAACAAAACTATGTGCTAGAAGAAGGGCACTCTGACCATCAAGGCTGCATTCAGGACCAAGTAGCACTATCCAGAGGAAGCCCAATTCACAGTCCTAGTAACAATCACCAATGGGACCCAAGATACCTCTAGACAATTCAGAAATTGAATACATCCTAGATCTGGTGAGCCTTTCTATTTCAACCATCTCAATTTTCCCACCATATTCTCACCATAAAGACATAGAAAGTGAACGCACTTTTAGGTAGATCCATAGAGTAGAGTTGAGGTAGGGGTATGATCAGGGATTTGCTTCAAGGAGCCCAAATCAGAGGCCGCTGACATCATGCGGAACCCGTCAATAAGACAGAAATAACTATAGCAAGAATAATTAAGCAAAACAGGAAATTGCCCAATGGTACCAATGGCCATACCACAGGGGAGCTATTCCCTGAGTTCATATTTCTTATCCCAACACTCACCTCCCTAGCAGAATTTTAGGCCAGTATTTGAATTTTATGACACTTGCCCTGGGAACATTCTATGTTACTCACTCTTGTCATATGGTAACTTATTTACCCCAATCACAATACTCTGTTCCCAGGCACTGGAATCAATAGGCTGATTCACTAATACAAAAAAACAGAATACTGGGAACTAGTCATGAATCATTTCCTTCTCATCCTCCTAGGTGCTCCTATATTCTGATACTTCATTCTAGCCCAACCCTTCCTGTATGGGTTCATCACCATTCAGCTCCACCAGCAATAGGACTCCTACATGCAAGTTCAACTGATCTCCTTTTAGAATTTTCTACCTAAGGACCATTTGGGACAGGCTGCTCCATCTGTATTCCCAGCTAGATGTTTCTCCAAGGAAAATCTACATATATTTTGATTACACCACAACGTCCTATTGCAGGTATGTGAGCTGCTTTCACAGTTAGAACATGTTTGCCCAAGACTTTGGTGGTCTCATACACACCATGATGTTGGGAATTATCCTAGAGAAGTAACCCACAAGTCTACAGAAAGCACACTTCCTATTTGTTTCTAACTCTTCCACTACTACCAAGGCTGTCCTGATTCTCAGAGGTGTCTTCTGAAAATGGATCCCAGTTCATCTCATATTTTTGGAAAATCCTATTCACTACCTTGCCAGTCTAGGGTGACTTTTCTACTGTTTACCATCCCCCAGTTGAAGGAGCAGATTAAACAAACCAACCATACCTTCATTGCTAGACATATATTATATCATCAGGATGATTGGGTAACTTTACCCTTTGCCTCCAAATATTTCTACAATAATGTCATTTGCTCTTTCATTTAAAACACCCCCATTTCACATGAATTATCATTTTTACTCCCCGTTTCCTCCTAGTCCTTACCTCTTAGATCTAATCACAGTCATGGAGAACTTGGACTTTTAGGCCAACCTCCAAGACGTTGTCCATGAAGCCACGATAGCAAGCTAATGAGTTATCAAATGACACAGGTCTCTTGGGAGTCTCTACAGGTAGAAAACCAGCTACAGCTTGCCATCTGTAACATCTACTTTTCTTAATCCTCTCAGAAGTTGAAGGGCTACATCTTCACCTATTCTAATCAATGGGAAGGAGCAGCTCTTAGCAAAAGCTAGGTTATTGATACTGGTAAGGTTAATTAAATGGGAAAGATTCAGCCCAGAAGCCTAAACTTGGGAACCTTAGGGCTCCTTTGTAGAGGAAAGTATTCCTTTGTGGGTATACCACTTACCTCAGATCTCAGACCCTGAAGAGGCATCCTAGGAGAGCTGATGTCAGGACACTAGCCTCATCTGTAGTGAGACCTTTGCCCCCGAAACCAGAAAGCATAAGATGGTCCAGGCAGAAGAACTTGATGCCAAAAGTGAAGAAAAGTCTGAAATTAACAATACAGGGAAGAAAAGAAAAAGAAGAACAAACAGACAGAATGTGCAGCAGAATCAGAAGTGAATAGAAATTGAAATCATGGTGAAATGACAGAGAGAAGCCTAAAGACCCTGTATAAAAAAAAAAAAAGGAAAAGGGGTCAGCTAGGTGGTGCAGTAGATAGAGCACCAGCCCTGGATTCAGGAGGACCTGAGTTTAAATCTGGCCTCAGATATGGAATACTTACTAGCTATGTAACCCTGGGCAAGTCATTTAACCCCATTGCCTAGCAAAAACAAATAAATAAATGAATGAATGAATGAATGAATGAATGAATGAACAAATAAATAAATAAATGAGTAAACAAATGAGTAAGTAAATAAATAAATAAATAGAAAGGAAATGTAAGCATTCAGAATAAGAAGCTGATTCTAAGAAGAAAAATATGAAATACATAGAATACATGAATATGATGGAGATGGAACAAAAAAATACTTTGTAAAAGGTAAATTCCCCTGGAAGGGAATGATCAAAACTACTGGGAAATAGATCCTAGACAATGAAATATCAATTTTAAAGTTAAGGAAAGAGGCTTAAGCTCAATATTAAGCAGTGACTAACGAACATTACAAATTCAAAGAGGAATTACTAGTTATCCATAAGAAGATCAACAAGAATCCAGCTTTAAGCTCTTAAAGGAGAAAGTAAAGCTTTTGAAATGAACATTTTCCTGCTTTATTAGGGCATTTGTGCTGTGCCTGATTGTATACCTCCATCACCACTATTTGTAAAATGTTTAGAAAGTTTGAGAGCTACTTAGATTTTTGTCTAGCTGTTGCTTTTTTAAGTGTTAAGGAAAGGACATGTTTTTGGTAGAGCTTTTAACTGAAAATAAAGAGTGTTTCTACCCACTATTCTAAATTTTATGAAAGAGAAAACTACTGGAGCTGAGAAAGCATGGATTTATTTATTAGGATAAACTGGTATCTTGGCAGCAGTTAAACACAATAATATTAACATGTCATTCCTCATAATTTGGAATTTTAATTAAATTTCATTGAAGTTTAAGAAAAAAAAAAGAAAAGAAAGGCAACCAAAGAACACTACATAGAACCCTACTGTGAAACAACAATATGCTTATAAATATAGAACTTCAAATAAGAGTGGAAAAACATTAACAAAGACTTTAGCAAGAAGACAGACTAATCTATTTAGGTTGAACTTCCTCTATAGTTCTGATAATTCTATATTCTCCACTTTCATAATCAAAATATTTATGGAACAATAAGATCTAAAGCTGAAAGGGACCTTAGAGATAATATAATACAACTTCCCACTTTACAGATGAGGAAATTGAGGCCTAAGATGGCAAAATACCTTGTTCATGATCATATAAATAGCAAGGAGCAAGTTCATAAGCAAGGCTCAAACCTGAACTTAGATCTCTTGACTTCAAGTCCATCATTTTTTACACTATACCACATTACTGATTAAAGGAATGGCATTACTATCGAATGAATTTAGTGCTTAGTGTGTGACAGGCCTGAGCTCCCCAGGCCCTGTCTTTGAAAAATACAATTATTATCTGAGGAGATATTATTGGGATCTTATAGTCCCACATTAGTCCTAAAATGGCCTTTACCCAGCCTGTAACATTCCTGGAGTGACTGTGTTTCTTACCATTTTTCAATCACATAGACATTTAAGACTCAGGAACACACTTAATTTCTCCAGCTCTTCTTCTCCTTCTTCTCCTTCTTCTCCTTCTTCTCCTTCTTCTCCTTCTTCTCCTTCTTCTCCTTCTTCTCCTTCTCCTCCTTCTCCTCCTTCTCTCCTTCTCCTCCTCTCCTCCTCCTCCTCCTCCTCCTCCTCTCTCTCCTCCTCCTCCTCCTCCTCCTCCTCCTCCTCCTCTCCTCCTCCTCCTCCTCCTCCTCCTCCTTCTTCTTCTTCTTCTTCTTCTTCTCTTCTTCTTCTTCTTCTTCTTCTTCTTCTTCTTCTTCTTCTTCTTCTTCTTCCTCTTCTTTTCGGCTAGGCATTGGGGTTAAGTGACCTGCCCAGGGTCACACAGCTAGTAAGTGTTATGTGTGTGAGGGCACATTTGAACTCAGGTCCTCCTGACTGCAGGGCCGGTGCTGTATCTACTGTGCCACCTACCTGCCCCCCAGTTCTTCTTTTTTAAAAGTAAGTTTATTGACATAACCTAAACCTCACAACTTTTCATATCTTTAAAAAACTTGTAGCTTGAACAGAAATAGGAAGGAATATACCTTTTCCTCAATGATTCATGGTACCTTTACAAAACTGGACCATATATTAAGGCAAAAAAACTTTATAGTTTAATGCAGAAAAGTAGAAATATTAAATACCTCCTTTTCAGATCATAATGCAATAAAAATTACATTTAATAAAGGACCATGGAGACACAGATTAAAAATTTTTTGGAGAATAAATAACCTAATCATAATAAAAGAGTGGGTTAGAGAACAAGTCACAGAAACAATAATTTCATTAATGAGAATAATAATAATGAGACAACACACCAAAACTTATAGTGTGCAGCAAAAACAGAAATAAGAGGCAATTTTATATTTCTAAATACTTACATCAATAAAATAGAGAAAAAGCAGGTCTGTGAATTGGGCATGCAATTTTTAAAAACTAGAAAAAGAACAAATTAAAAAACCCCAATTAAACACCAAATTGGAAATCCTAAAAATTAAAGAGAGTAATAAAAATTGAATGTAAGAAAAGAGCACCGGCCCTGAAGTCAGAAGGACCTGAGTTCAGTTCCGGCCTCAGACCAAACACTTGACAATTACTAGCTGTGTGACCCTGGGCAAGTCACTTAACCCCAATTGCCTAAAAGCAAAGCAAAACAAAACAAAACAAAACAAACCACTGAATTAATAAAAAAAAAAAAACTAGGAATTGATTTATGCAGAAAAAACAATAGAATGATAAACCATTGGTTAACATAATTTTTTTAAGAAGAGAAAAGAAAGTCAAATTTCTAGTATCAAAAATGAAAAGGGTGAATATACCACTAAGGAAGATGAAATTAAAATCACTATTAGGAGTTATTTTGCCCAATTATATGCCAATACATTTAACAATTTAAGTGAAATGGAAGAATATTTACAAAAATATAAACTGCCCAAATTAACAGAAGAGGAAATAAAATGTCTAAATCAACATATTTTAGAAAAAGAAATTGAACAGGCCATAAATGAGCTTCCTAAGAAAAAAGCATCAGGACCAGATGGATTTGCAAGCTAATTCTCCCAAAGAATTAAAGATCAACTAATTCTAATACTAAATAAATTATCTGAAAAAAATAAATAAATAAATAATCTGAAATAAAAGGCAAAGGAGTCCTACCAAACTCTTTTTATAGAACAAATACGGTGCTGATAGCTAAACCAGAAGAGCGAAAACAGAGAAAGAAAATTATAGGCCAATTTCATTAATGTATATTGATGCAAAAATCCTAAATAAAATACTAGCTAGGAAACCACAACAATGCATCACAAAGGTAATACATTGTGACCAAGTGGAATTTATGCCAGGAATATATGGCTGGTTCAATATAAGGAAAACTATTAACATAATTGATTATATCAATAACAAAAGAAGTAAAAAATATATTATTATATCAATAGATACCCAAAAAAAGGCTTTCACAAAATATAACACATTCCCATTAAAAATTCTTGAAACCATAAGGATAAATGAATTTTTCCTTAAAATGATAAGAAGTATCTGCCTAAAACCATCAGTAAGTATTATTTGCAATGAGGATAATCTAGATGCCTTCCCAATAAAATCAGGAGTGAAACAAGGATGCCTATTATTACCAATATTATTTAGTATTGCATTAGAAATGCTAGCAATAGCAATAAGAGAAGAAAACGAAATTCAAGGAATCAGAACGGGCAATGAGGTAATACAACTATCTCTTTTTGCATCATATATCATATGATGGTACACTTGGAAAATCCTAGAGATTCAACTAAAAAGTTAATTGAAACAAATAATGCTAGCAAAGTAGCAGGATATAAAATAAACCCATATAAATCATCAGCATTTCTATATATTACCAACAAAGCCCTGTAAGAAGAGATAATAAGAGATATTTAATTTAAAATAACCACTGACAATATAAAATATCTGAAAGTTGCCAAGGCAACCCCAGGAACTATATGAATATAATTATAAAACACATTTTATACAAATAAAGTCAGATTTAAATAATTGGAAAAATATTGTTCATGAGTGGGCAACTACAGTTCTGCCTAAACTAATATACTTATTAAATGCCATCCCAATTAAATTACCAAAATTATTATTTTGAGGCAAGAAAAAATAATAACAAAATTCATTTTGAAGGACAAAAGGTCAAGAATATCAAAGGAATTAATTTAAAAAATGTAAAGGAAGGAGGTCTAACAGTACCATATCTTTTTTTGACTAGGCTTAAGTTAAGTGACTTGCCCAAGTTCACATAGCTACTAAATGTTATGTATCTGAGACCGGATTTGAACTCAGGTCCTCCTGACTCCAGGACCAGTGCTCTATCCACTGCACCACCTAGCTGCCCCAACAGTACTGTATCTTAAACAGTATTGCAAGTCAATAATTATCAAAACTATTTGGTACTGGCTGAGAAATACAATGCTAGATCAGTGGAATAGTATAGATATACAACACACAATAGTAAATTATTATATTAACCTTCTATTTGATAAATGTAAAAATTTAAGCATTTGGAATAATTATTCACTACCTGGCAAAAATTGTTAGGGAAAACTGGAAAGCAATCTGGCAGAAATTAGGCATAGACCCATATTTCACACCATTTACCAAGATAAGGTCAAAATGGTTATTTGACCTAGACATAAAGGGAGATATCATAAGTAAATTAGTAGAACATGAAACATATTACCTATCAGATTTATGGACAGAAGAAGAATTTATGAATAACCAAAAGATAGAGAACACTGTGAGATGTAAAATGGATAATTTTGATTATATTAAATTTAAAAGGGTTCGTGCAAATAAAACCAATGTAGCCAAGATTAGAAGGAAAGCAGAAAATTAGGAGGGGGGAAATTTTGTAGACAGTTTCTCAAATAAAGGCCTCATATCTCAAATGTATCAAGAACTTTGTCAAATTTATAACAATATGAGTCATTCCCCAGTTGATAAATGGTCAAAAGATATAAACTAGCAGTTTTTGGATAAAAAAATCAAAGCTATATGTAGTCATATAAAAATGCTCTAAACCATTATTGATTAGAGAAATGCAAATTAAAACAACTTTGAGATATCATCTCCCACCTATTATATTGACTAAAATAACAGAAGGTGACAATGACAAATGTTGGAGGGGATGTGGAAAAATAGGGACTTTAAACTGTTGGTAAAACTGTGAACTGATTCAACCATTTTGGAGAACAATCTGGAATTATGCCCAAAGAGTTATAAAAGTATGTATGCCCTTTGACCCAATAATACCACCATTAAGTCTGATTCTCCAGGTGATCAAAGAAAAAGAAAAGAATCTGTCTGTTCTAAAAAATATTTATGGAGGCAGCTAGATGGCACAGTGAATAGAGCTCTGGTCTTGGCATCAGAAGGACTTGAGTTCAAATCCAGCCTCAGACAGTTAACACTTACTAGCTGTGTGACCCTGGGCAACTCACTTAACCCTGATCGCCTCACCAAAAATCAAAAAATATATATATGTGTATATACATATATATATATATGTATATGTATGTGTGTGTATATATATATATATACACATATATATGTATATATATATATATTTATGGCAGCTCTCTTTGTAGGTGGCAAAGAACTAGAAATTGAGGAGATACCCATCAATTAGGGAATGGCTGAATAAGTTGTGGTATATAACTGTGATGTAACACTACTGTGCTGTAAGAAATGAAGAGCAGATAGATTTTTTTTAATTTTATTAATTTATTTTGATTTATCAATAATCACTTCATATACTTTTGTGTTTAAAATTTTTCTGCCCCTTCCATCCCACCACCCTCCCCAAGACAGTGCACAATCTGACATAGGCTATACATTTACATTCCTATTAAACATATTTTCACATTAGTGATGTTGTAAGTAAAAATTAAAACCAATAGGAGGAACCATCAGAAAGAGGAAACAAAACTCAACAGAAGAGAAAAAAAAATAGCAATTCAACTTCCATAGTTCTTTCTTTGGATGTGGATAGCATTTTCCATCACGAGGCCTCTGGAGATGTCTTAGATCCTTGTATTGCTGGGAAGGGTTAAGTTTATCAATATTAGTCACCATACAACATGGCTGTTATTGTTTACAACGTTCTCTTGGTTCTGCTCACTTCACTCAGCATCAGACCATACAAGTCTTTCCAGGTTTTTCTGAAGTCAGCCTGTTCATCATTTCTTTTTTTTTCTTTTTTTTGAAGATTTTATTTTTTTTTGTCTCATATCTTTATTTTTTCTTTTTTTTTATTTTATTAATTTATTTTGATTTATCAACAATCACTTCCATTTGCTTTTGAGTTGAAAGTTTTTCTCCCCCTTCTTCCCCCACCCTCCCCAACACGGTGCACAATCTGATATAGGCTTTACATTCACATACCCATTAAACATATTTTCACATTAGTGAAGTTGTAAGTAAAAATTAAAACCAATAGGAGGAACCATCAGAAAGATGAAACAAAACTCAACAGAAGGTAAAAATAAGTGATAGCGATTCAACTTCCATAGTTCTTTCTTTGAATGTGGACAGCATTTTCCATCCCGAGGCCTCTGGAGATGTCTTAGATCCTTGTAATGCTGAGAAGGGTTCAGTTTAATAATATTAGTCATCGCATAACATGGCTGTTATTGTGTACAAAGTCCTCTTGGTTCTGCTCGCTTCACTCAGCATCAGACCATATATGTCTTTCCAGGTTTTTCTGAAGTCAGCCTGTTCATCATTTCTTATAGCACAATAGTATTCCATGACATTCATATACCACAACTTGCTCAGCCATTCCCCAATAGATGGGCATCCTCTCAATTTCCAATTCTTTGCCACCACAAAAAGAGCTGTCATGAATTATTTTTGTACATGTGGGTCCTTTTTCCATTTGTATGATCTCTTTTGGATATAGCCCTAGAAGTGCTATTGCTGGGTCAAAGATAGATTTTTTTTAAAAAAATGGAAAGACTTGCATGAAATAATGAAAAGTGAAACAAGCAGAACCAAGAGAACATCATATATACAATAATAGCAGTAGTGTTAGAAGTAGAATTGTGAATGACAAAGCTATTCTGAGTAATATGAATATTCAAATAAACTGCGAAGGACTTATGAAGGAAAATGCTATGGATCTCTAGAGAAAGAACCCATATATGGAAGTACATATTGTGTGGTTTCATATCTATATCTGTGTCAAATGTTGGCCTTCTGTAGTGTGCAGTTAGGGAGCTTGAAACTTAAAATGTAACAAAAGAAGCAATAAAGCTCTTTTTATTCTGTTTTGTTTTGTTTTGTCTTTCTTGTGGTTCCTCCTATTGGTTCTGATTCTTCTTTACAACATGACTAATGTGAAAATATGTGTAATAGGAATGTATATGTAGAGCCTATATCAGATTGCATGCCATCTTGAGGAAGAAGGAGGAGGAGGGGGAGAAAATTTAAAACTCAAAAGCTTATGGAAGTGAATGTTGAAAACTAAAAGTAAATTAATTAATTAAAAAAGAAAAAAACAAAAGAAGAAATAAAATACAGTTTTTTCATAAAATAAATTATTTATATTAAGATGTAATGTAGGTAATGTTATTTTAAGTGAATTAATAAATATTTTAAATTTTTTAAAAATAAAAAACTTGTAGAATACATTTCCCCCCATAATCTTGTTTTAAAACAAAACTTGTCTTTACATGTTTAGACACTGAGTTCTAAAGATTTTTGAAACATATTCTTTAATTCTTTACCATGAAACCACACATTAATCACATTAGATATTCTAGGTACTGATGAACAGTCCATTTTTCTAGTTTCAGCCTTGATTATAGCCCATATGCTTTTCTTTTTTTGAAAGCCACACATTGAATTCATCATTCACTTAAAAAGATGAGGAAGTTTTATACAACAAAGATCCCTGGGTCTTCAGACAATCCTCTTCTGCTTTATTTTATATACAGAAATGCCCACTTCTCATTTGATGTTTTTCTTTTTATTATTACTTTTATTTTATTCAATTTATTTTTATTGTGAACTTAACAAACTCCAAAAAACAAAAAGTTAATACCTCCACAAACTGCATAACAGAAAAAGACTGCACATGAATATGCACTCTCTACAAGTCTTTTAGCATGTCTAAAACTGAACTCATTATCTTTTCCTCAAAACCCTCCCTGCCACCAGCCTGGTGCAAGCCCTTATCACCTCACATTTGTACTATTGCAATAGCCTGCTTCTTGGTCTTCCTACCAGATGTCTCTCCCCAAGTCAGTCCATCCTCCACTAAGCTACCAAACTAAAACATAAGTCTGACCATTACACACACACACACACACACACACACACACACACACACACCCCTTTCCCTCAATTTCCACTGGCTCCCTATCACGTCTAGGATCAAATATAAAATTCTCTGATGTTCAAAGCTCTTCATAACCTCTTGCCCTTAACCATTCCAGGCTTCTTACACCTTATACTACCCCAACACACTATGTGATCCAGGGACACTATTCTCCTTGCTGTTTCTCACACAAGAAAATCCATCTCCAGACTCTAGGAATTTTCAGTGGCTGTCTTCCCTGGCTCCTGTCAAGTCCCAGCTAAAATCTCACTTTCTTCAGGAAGCTTTTCCTAATCTGTCTTGATGCTAGTGTTTTCCCCTCCGTTGATTATCACATATAAGTGCACATACACACACACACACACACACACACACACACAGAGTGGAGATAGTTGTTTGCATGTTTTCTCCCCCATTAGACTGGGAGCTCCTAGACGGCAAGGACTATCTTTTGTCTTTCTTTGTATCCTCAGCACTTATCACAATGCCTAGCACATACTAAGTACTCACTTATTGATAAATTCTCCTTTCCTTCCAAGTATACAATATATTCAATTTGTACCAGCTTTGAATTGCTAAAAGTAAAACTTGTTCAAATAACATAAGAGTTTCAGGAGACCACTCCTTTCATTTCTAGTTCCTTTTAGTTTCATTCACAGCTTGGTTAGAGATACCCTTTCAGGAATGATTAAGCATTTTATAAGTGAGACATTTAACCCCTCATTTTCTTTGGTGTCCTGCTAATTGCCCAAGACTGTAAGTTAGGACTATAAGGATTTATCAATCTGCTTTGATGGGTGGAGTTTCCACACTTGGGACTTCCTTTCAGGGATACACTCACTGGTCCAGATTCTCCTCTCCTTCCCTAAAAAGAATACTGATGAAAAGGCAAGTACAAATGTAGCTACATAAGACCAAACTTCCATTATTTGGTCAGAGAGATTTCTGTTCTGATAAACAATTGGAAAACTTCTAGGGAGCTTGGGTTCCTAGAAATTGAGAAGGCCCAGCAAAAAAACCCCACATTAGAAACAAAAGGGGCCCAGTGGTATGAAGTTTCTAGTACCCTTCCTTTATCTTACAAAAATGTCAATATATTACAGAGTTTGCTCATATAGATTGTTTTCCTATCTCCATCCCCATGGCTGAGGCCTTCCTCCTTAAATTTCAGGCCTTCAGCTTGGTTTACATCATTGACCACTTCATGGTACTTAGAAAGAATAGGCTCCCAGGTGTGCACCACTGCTAACATTTTTAGTCTTCTCGGTTAGTCTATGCACCCTAACTATAACATTGTGTGCTTTGTATGATAAAATGATCCTACTCACCATTAGTTGTGTAACAAGGTCCATGCTCTGAGTTATCTGTCCTGATTCCAGTGGATTACATGGGATATTTGGAGCCAGCTTCCAACCGTATGTCATGGCCCAAAACTGAGAGGACCCAGGGATACAGTACAACATGGCAAAATCAGAGTGCCCTACACTGTGACAGAGACAGAAGTAGGAAGTGCTATGTCAGTTAAAAGAACAGATAGCTTCTGGCTCCTTCTCTGCCCTTGATTTCCCAAGTGGCACCCTATAACTTTAGGACTTCCAGTGAGGGATGAGGAAGAGACAGCATTTCTCTACCCCAGAATCATAATGACTATGCCCATCTGGCAGCTGATGCAGGGGTAGTCAATGAGAGGAGTTTGTGATTGAGAGCCTGGCTTCCTTTTCCTCTTTTGTGTTTCCTTTCCTGAAGAGGAGAAACCTCAAAATACATATGTCCAGGCTTGGTGGTGACCTTGAGAGTCTGAGAAGTCCAGAGGTTTGTGGCTGTAGTAGTGGTACTGTCCAGCAGAGTGGCAGATCTGAGACTAAGATCAGTTTCAACATCTGAAAGGATGGACACTGACAAGAGGACTGGGCCAGGCCTAAATGTTTTTTACCAGCAAACACACCAGGAGTTGTTGGACAGTGCAAAGCCATAGTGAAATATAAACTATCTAATTAGCAGTCCTGAAGACTCCTTTGTATTTGAATGAGGCTTCAGTATCAATCTCCTGCAGGAATAGTTACGAGTTAAATTACTGAATCCTGTTCTGTTAATACACCTTGTGAGACTTTTCTGTCTGGAGTTTCTTGTGTGTGCAAGAATCAATTACCTGTCCTACGCCTGATTCATATTTGACAATGAGTATCTTTCTACTCAATGTAAAGTAGGATTTCCCCTTTCTAAGGAAATCCTAGACATGAGCCATAACCTACTAAACCACAAGTTAAATTGCCCTGGGGTGCTGGTGCAGGGAACTTAATGAAATGAAGAGTATGAGAAAAGAGAGCATGTAACCCTTCTCATTGGAGGCAGGCTTCCCCAGGAGTGAACCAAACAAACTGCATGTCTGATTACAAAACAGGGAAGGGGCACAGAACCAGAAGTGGTTCCTCAAAGTTAGAGTATGACATATGCTTTCTTTTTTTTTAGGACATGTACTTTCAAGAGTGTTTTTCCCATCCCCAGGGAGTGATGAACTATGAGCTTTCCAAATTTTCTGAGCTCTTTGTTTCCACAGCCATACACCTGTGGGGGAAAAAAAACAGCTGAAGTTAAGGACATAACTTATAGATATTTTTACCCTTTTCTTTTTAAAAAATATTTTATTTTTAACCTTTTTTTTTTAAATTTTGAGTTCCAAATTTGTTCCCTCCCTCCCACCCTCTTTCCCATCCACTGAGAAGGTAAGCAATATGATAGCAATTATGCATGTGAAATCATACATAATTTTCATATTAGCCAAATTCCTAAAAAAGTGAGAAAAATAAGATGAGAAAATTATACTGAAGTTTGCACTCTGAGTTCATCAGCTAATGAACTCTTCTGGAGGTGGATAGCCTTTTTTTTCCATCATGAGTCCTTTGGAATTGTCTTGGATCATGGCACTGATCAGTGTAACTAAGTCTTTCACAGTTGATCATTACTACATTATTTTTACCATGCACAATTATCTCCCAGTTCTTCTCACTTCTTTTTGCATCAGTTCATATGTATCTTGCCATGTTTTTCTGAAACCAGCCCCTCATCATTTCCCACAGCACAATAGTACTCCATCACAATCATATGCCACAACTTATTCAGCCATTCCCCAATTGATGAGCATCCTTTCGATTTCCAGTTCTTTGCCATCACAAAAAGAGCTGCTAAAAATATTTTTGTACACATAGGTCCTTTTCCTTTTTCTTTTATCTCTCTGAGATAGCAATCTAACAGTGGTATCACTGGGTCAAAGGGTATACACAATTTTATGCCATTTGGCAGTTTCAGATTGTTCTCCAGAATGATTAGAGCAGTTCACTACTCCACCAGCAGTTCATTAGTCTACCTGTTTACCCTTATGCCCTCTAGCATTTATCATTTCTGATAGGTGTAAGGTGGTACCTCAGAGTTGTTTTAATTTGCATTTCTCAGGGGCAGCTAGGTGGTGCAGTGGACAAAGCACCAATCCTGGGTTCAGGAGGACCTGATTTCAAATCCAGCCTCAAACACGTAACACTTACTAGCAGTGTGACCCTGGGCAAGTCATTTAACCCCATTGCCTATCCCCCCAAAATAAAATAATTTGCATTTCTCCAATCAATAGTAATTTAGAGCATTTTTTCATACAACTAGAGATAGCTTTGATTTCTTCTTCTGAAAACTGCCTGCTCATACCCTTTGACTATCAATCGGGGAATGGCTCTTATTTTGATAAATTTGACTCAGTTCCATACTCAGTATAAATTGGAGAAATAAGGCTTTCCTCAGAGAAACGTGCTATAAAAATTTTTTATATTACTTCATTGGCTATGATACCTCTTAGCAAAATTTAGTTTCCCTGATTATCTCTTTTAATTAGGCTTGTTTATGCTTTTGCTTTGTTTGAGATCATGATTACAACCAGATTTCGGTTTCTAATCCATTTTGCTATCTGCTTCTGTTTTATGGGTGAGCTCATCCCGTTCATATTCATAGTTATGATTACTAACTGTGTATTTCCCTCCATCCCATTATCTTCTGTTACTCCTGTTTTCAGATGAGGAAACTGAAGCTGAGAAGGTAAATGAATTGTCCAAGTGCAGAAGTGGGGAACCTGCGGCCTTTTGACTGACTCCAAACTTCACAGAATGAATCCCCTTAATAAAAGGATTTGTTCTATAAAACCTACACTCAGTCAAAAGGCCCCACCCGATGACCTAGAAGGTCACATGTGACCTTGAGGCCGCAGGCTCCTCACCCCTGGTCCAAGGAATGTAATGAGGCCCCACATGTAGAGAGTCCCACGTAAGTGTAGCATGTGGCATGGAAAGATTCTTGTGTGGCTTGAAGGGAGACAGAATAGACTTCTCTAGCCTCTTTTGCCAGGAAGTTGGGGCTGGAAGCCACCATTCTGCTCTACTCACAGAGAGGGAGTACCAAGCTAGAATTATATCTATCTGCTGTCTTTAATATTGTTAGTCTAGGCCCTAGACCAGGGAATATGATCAGGTCCAAACTAACTTTGGATCACTCTTTCACTAAATGGGGGGGAGGGGTGGAGAGGACCCCAAGCTTTATATACAAGGCTTGACTCCCTTCCCACCAACCACCAGTTCCACAATGACCACACACAGTGAATCACAAAGGAACCCATTTATCCAAATCATTAGTTAAACAGAAATCAGAGAAAGTATACATGGAATATATACCAGACAACACTGAGTAAAGGAGCGCTCTCATTCCAGAGCAAGGTTACTCAGCTCCACCAAGAGACAGTCCTAGACCTCACCCAAGTGAGCAAAGTGTCTAGAGTAGCAAGCCAGGGACAGGGACCTGATGGAGACTGTCAGATCCTCTCATGTCTTCCCAGAGTCTTTTCCTTCAGCAGTAGCAAGGTTGAAGTAAGGTTGGCCTCTCCATCTTCCCTCTTGAAGCTCGATGCCATAAGCACCCAAAGCAACTCAAAGCTTGAAGAGTCCCAAAGATTAGATGAGACTGAAGCTCTTGCTCTTGCCAACCCCACCCTGACCCTCAAGCAGGGCAGGGTATTCATTTCCACCAATAAAGAGAGACCCATGCCAATGGGCTTTGGGATTGGTGCTACATTAGTATCAGAGTCAGTTTTTCCCTGACTCCAAGTCCAACCAGCTTTCCATTATATCAGACTGCCATTATATTAATGAAGCAACTGTCTTCATCATCACAGGCCTGCAAATTTTCATCCTAGATTTTAATCTCTGACATGCATTTCTATACATTTGTGAACACTGTTTATGTTGCAAAACACCAGTTTAAACACCAGTTTGAATTTTGGCTTTATAGATATGAAAATTAGAATTACAAAATAGTAAAAATAGCAAATGAGTCCAGAAAGTCTTGTCACCTAACAATAGTTATCCCCTAGTCATTCACTTTTATGTTGCAAATTTATTAGGCTAGGGAATAGTCAGGATGACTCTGCCAGGTTACATATTCATTCATTGATTCAATAACTATTTATCAAGCATTTACTGTATATATAAAAACTGCAGTGCTAAGCACTTGGAGAACTACAAAGAAAATCAAGATAGAGTTCCTGTCCTCATAGCATGCGCCAGATTCACAAATGTTAAATAACATGCAATAAATATATAATCAATGCAGGTCAAAATTGATTAAAATTAAATAAAACATAGAGAGGTTTCAAAATGCTATTCTACGTTAGAGGAAGGAAAGATCATTTCTGACTGGGAGAATATGAGAAAGATTCTGGGAGGAGGTAGCAAATATTTTGTTTTCATTCAATAACCCCCCCCAGTTGTTTTATTAAAATAACAATTATAGCCTAACAATTTTAATAGATAAGAAAATTAGAAAAATCAGCACAACAAAGGATTTTTGCTAGGATTTTTCCTATTTACATTTTAGTAAAAGAAAAAAGTTTATGTCACGGTAACTGACTTGCTATATAGCTACTTCTGATATCTGTTCTCTCTGTACACTCAAAGTTTTGTTTTTGCTGTTTTTTAATTAGTTATATGGCAGTGTCTATGTTCTCTTTCTGCAGCTGTCACTTTACATCGCTTCATGTAAATCTTTCTGTATTTTTGTATTCTTCATATCGGTCCTTATTTTATGACACAATGGTCAACCATTACATTGATATGGCACAATTTATTCACAATTCCTCATTCCTTGGATATATAGGTAATTTCAGGTTTTATTTTGTTTTGCTATTATAAATAAAATAACTATTTTTAAATTAATAGATCAGTTTACCTTTTAATTATACTTTTAGAACATATTTCTCAGGGTAGGCTTACTAGATGAATAGATATGATGCTTTTAAAATATTTATTGATATCTTTTGTTTCTCCCAGCATTCTTCCTCCTTCCAGTCATTCCATTTGACAAATGTTTTTAAATAAAAATAAAAAGGAAAAGCAATCAGCAAGACCAATCAATATATCAGAAAGGTCTGAAAATATATTCAATATACAACACCCCTGGGGACCTCCTACCTCTACCTATACATATGGTTTCTCATATTTCCTCTTTGGTATTGTAGCTGTTCTTTGAAATTTTGCAACATTTGCTTTTTTTTTTGTCAAGGCAATTGGGGTTAAGTGACAGCTAATAAGTGTCAAGTGTCTGAGTCCAAACATTCAATAACATTCGTTATTGTTCTATTTATATTGTTGTATTCATTGTATATAGCTTTCTTGGCTCTACTTCATTCGACATCAGACCTTGTAAATCTTTCCGTGTTATTTCTTTATTAATTATATTCCTTATTTCTTATAGCACAATAATAATCCATTATATCCATGAATCACAATTTATATTTAGCTGTTCCCCAGACATTCACTATATATCCAATTGTTTGCTAGGGGGAAAAAAAGTGCTACTATACATATTTTGGTGCATGTGGAGAGTTTCTTCTTGTCAATGACTTCCTTGGGGTCTAAGTCTAATAGAGATTCCACTATTAGTCAAAGGGTATAGACATTTTAGTTACTTTGCTTATATAATTCTAAATTGCTTTCTGATGTGATCCTTTTTTTAAGTCTTACAAAACTGTCCATTTCTTTCCAAAAAAGATTACACTGCTTTGTAGTTCTACCAAAAATGTAACAGTAACTATTTCCTCAGAGCCTCAGAGCACTACTGAAATTTGTCATTTTTAACAGTTTTGGCCAATTTGCACAATGGCACCCTGATGTTATTTTTACTCACATTTCTCTGATTTTAGAGCTTAAACAACTTCCAGTAATTATTGAAAATGCTTCCTTCTTTGAAAATTACTCATATTTCTTGCTATTTTTTTAATTCTAAATTTAATAACCAAAAGACATGCTCCAATAGGAAAGAGAGTGTTGCCAGCCAATGCTGACTGCTGTGTCTGACACCTCTGTTCTAAATTACTTATAATAGAAATACAAATCAAAACAACCCCCAATTTCACTTAAGAAAATTGACAGATTTTCACCTAGAAATTTGTCAAAGGTGACGAAAAATAGGAATGTCAATAATAAGAATGGTCAAGAGGGAGTGTGAAAAGATAGGTACATTGAAGCATTT